TAGGGCTTAGGGAAATTTACAAGATAAGTGAGTCAGGTTTCGAATTTTGGAACGATGGGCCCGGAGTTTTTTTTGGTATGTAAGACGTTCAACCTGAAACCCTCAACCGCGTAACAGGAGTGCACGGTTCAGCCTTGGGATAGTCCTAACCTGCTGCTTCTGGAAGGGTTCCTAACCAAATGGTCCCCTGCTTCTGGATTTTACGCAGGGGGTTCCTGGTTTGGCTATAGGGGTTAGGGTATTGGGTTTAGGCTCTAGNNTGGGGTTTTGGCTTTAGGCTTTAGGCTTTTGGGGTGTAGGGTTGGGGGTTTAGGGTTTAAGTTGTACGGTGACCCTGGTGACCGGTTTTGGTCCATACCCAAGGGGTGTAGTAGTTTAGTGGTTACCTCTCAGGGTTTGAAAGTTGGGTCTTGGATTCCTAAACTCTGAACAAACTCTAAGCCCGTGCTGTAACTCACCCTAACCACTAAACTCTAAACCCTAAACCCTAAACCGCTCAACCCGGAACCCTTAACCCGAAACCCTGGACTGTGAATCGGCCCTCCCTGGCTGAGACAGACCTTGGTAAGTATCGTGCAGAATACGAGGTAGGTGCCCCACAGTTTAAGGTGCAGAGTTCATGGTTTGGCTGTCAGGGTTTGTCGAGGGGGTTCGGGATGAGGATTCAGGAATAGGGTTTAGGGTTTCGGGACCATAATGGATACTCAAATGGAAAATAAAAGTAAAACTGGGATGGTAAAGTGCTTTGCAAGGAACACTGAACCCAGAATGTAGGCATGTTGCGAGACATATTGGGGTGTAACTTGGGTGTTCGGCTACCTAGTGACAGATTGCTTCAGACCCCAGATCCTAGCCCAAAACCCTTATTCCAAACCCTAAATTAAAACCCCAAATCCTAAGCCTAAACCCTAAACCCTAAACCCCTAAACCCTGAACTCTAAACCCTAAACCCTAAATAAACCCCTAAAACAACTGACTAATCAAAATCCCGCTTCGCAGCTGCCGGGGATAGCCCCAGCTCTTCTGAACGACAGATTCTTGAGCCAGGGAGGGGTTTAGGGTTTAGGGTTTAGGGCTTAGGGTTTAGGGGTTTAGGGTTTAGGGTTTAGGGTTTGGTTTTAGGGTTAGGGTTTAGGGGTTTAGGTTGGGTACTGCCCCACCTTGTACCATTCTATCATAGGAGTCATATTAAGGGCCGCATTTGTCCTATTAGAACTATTATGCAACTGCTACTGGGTGGGGGCCGTACCCAACATTCAGATGCCAGTGTTTGAAAGCATCTGGGATACATAGCATTTAGGGAATGGGGCTCAGGGCCTTAGTGTTTGGAGGCCAATGGGGATACATAGGTGCAGGTATAGAGGGTTTGGGGCTCCAGAGAGTGGGGTCCCACCAAGAAACTGTAACTGCTGCTTCTCAACATCATCTGGCATCAACATCAATGTTAGTATATTATTGTAGTGTATTGGGGTTTATATAGGGGTTTAATAGGGATAATGGAAAAGAAAATGGAAACTCCCGTAATGGGGTTATATAGGGCGAGAAGCTAAACGTCCCTAAACAATGATTCCGGAAGTCTCAGGGGCATCCGCACGATTCAAGAAAGACGTCTGGAGTTTGCACGGTTTGGAGTTCAGGGAAGCGCTACATGGTGGACCGTCAAAATTATTGTCAGTTTGTGGATCGCCACTAGAGCAGTATCCAGAATATTCAGAGTTCTGCCCAAAAAAGGGACCATCAGTTTGACATCGCCCCAATAGAGAGATCCTAGTCATGTCGGTCGCTGTCAAGGCAGCAATGGCAGTGGTTCTACATTACACTGGGTTGCTGTTAAGGAACTTAAATTACGTTACCATAACGGGGATATACAGTAATTAACATGCATTCTCCAATAGAATAACTTAACAGCGACCCAGTACAGCAATGATGGTAACCTGCAAGGACAGCAATAGCAGATGGGGGTTCCTCACACTGCTAGTCACGAGTCGAGGCCTTTGGAGATTCCAAGCAAGGATATGCTGGGATTACAAACCTATTGGCGACTGTATAAGGAAGATTTTGAGAATCACTTATAACAGCAATAGCAGACTTTCTAGTGAGATGTTCAGGCTTTGTGGCAATGCTGCAGGCCATGGAAGCATTTGAGGCGCGAGCATCATAGACGTGGAACCTTCCCCGGTGGAACGCTCCTCGACAGCCAGGAGCACATTGTCCAGTTGACAGCTAGGGTTTAGGGGTTAGGGTTTAGGGTTTAGGGTTTAGGGTTCTAGGACTGTGAACATTCCAGGGGTTCGAAAGCACGGGTACCTGTTGGGACCCTCTCTCCTACCGTTGATGGAGGAAATCTTGCCCCACCCAGTGCCCCTAGACTATTGCAACTCCTAGGACTTTATGGACTTAAAATGTTCCCCATTCCACTGTACTTGTGGGTTCCCTGTTCATCTCGGGAATCACATCACATACAAAGTATCGGGGCGTAGGGCTTAGGGTCCAGGATTTAGGCTTTAGGGGTCATACAAACTATTAGGAAGATCAGGGAAAAAAAACGTAAATCCTAAAACCTAAGCGCTCAACCCCTATGAAGTCAGCCGCAAACCCCAAACCCTGAATCTGCTAATCTAGATAATAATGCGGAAGCCCGTGGTTGAGAGCCCAGTGCAGGTGTCTTAGTATCTGAACCATGGATTTAAGGTCTGTTAAATATGTTTATTGTGTAGGCGGTTTAGGCTAAAGAGTTTGGGCTCTAGGGTCGGTTCTAGGGCTTTTGGGTTCAGAGGATTCTGCCTACTACAACCAGAACCGGGAGAATGAATGACTTGCTGTTGTAGATCTTTTCAAAAGTCTGGCTGTCTTTAGGGGCCCAGGAATACTGGGGGATTGGAAGGCGATTCTGCGGGACCCTACTCGAAATTCTACACCCTAAAACCCCACGACCCTACAACCCTGTAGGATTTATTCGGGGAACTCCTATGCAGTCGTGATTTCACTGGGCCGGGCAGGTTTCTCTGTCCGATTGCGTTTCTGACGCTGATCGAAATTGCAAAACCAAAAGGAACCAAATCTGACAACAAATCACAACTCTGATGATTCGTGATTCCCACTCTACACATATATATATATACATATACATATACTCAGGGCCCATAATACTTGGATAACAATATGAATGGTGACATTCAACCACCCTCTGTTCGCTACCGCTACTGGGCGCAGGGTATCAAAGAAGGAATATCTAAATGTGGAAGTTTCCCAAAACTAGGGGTACCTCCCTATAATGAGGATTATGGTATTTTAGGGTCTAATTGGGTCCCCATATTTAGGGAAACTACCATATCTGAACCAATATCTGACCCTAAACCCTAAACCCTACATCGTAGCTTCTATTTTCTTATCCGTCATCCCAATATCACCCCCCCTAATACCGAACCCTTGGCCCTGGACTCCCACTAGCTGCTTGGAAGGTGCAGGCCCTAAACCCTAAACCCTAAACCGCGTGGAACAACACCCCGAGACACTTGAGATGACACACAAACCAAGCCTTCCCGTGTACCTCAGACTCTAGGAGAATGGAAGAGAAAATGGAAACTACTTATAATGGGGCTATATAGGGTTACATAGGGTTTAGGGTTTAGGGTTGGAATGGAAAAGAGCATTGAAACTACTGTAATGTAGTTGAAGATGGCAAAGATGTACTGGGCTGCTGCTAAGGAACTTGATTTAAGTTACTATATTGGGGAAACCATATTAATTACTATGTTCTATATACTTATTATGGTAACTTAATTCAAGTCCCTTAACAGCAACCCAGTGTATCCATGCGCAGATGAGATCCAATGGGAGAATCCCAGAGTCGGGACATTCTGAGGTCTGCAACCACCCTGCCAAAAGAAGTCCAGCAACCCAATTTAAAAAGAGGGAACCGAATGATACCATTTGGGCGGTCCCCATAGGAAGCATTATAGTATTTGGGGATCCATTTTGGAACCCCCTAACTATTTAGGGAAACTATCATCAACATCCCAGCACACGAAACAACCTTGGCGGTTCTGCTGAACAAGACCATTCATCAACTCATGCAAGACGTTGCACAAACCACAGAAGCCAGCCAGCATCTTTTACACAGGCTCTACGGTGAGGTACGAGCAGGTCATGTAGCATGCCGGTCCTGCTCGGCAGCCTTACGTTTGCGCGAATTCTTGGGGCCCCTTGGGGCTACCCTTGCTCCTGGCCATGCCCTTACTTGAGCAAGCAGCTCAGCGTTGCCAAGCTGGGCCCACTGCAGCATCTTGGCATAGTCTCCCGATGCCTCTTGCTGAGAGGATTGCGTGGGACCCGTAAGCACGTGCCATTGTCCGTCGCAAAGTGCATCTCTTTTGGCCGCGAACCCTCCAGAAACACGGCGAAGCCCGGGCATGAGGCCTTGTGAAGGCAGCTTGTACACTTTTCTACCCCCACGCTTTCCCACGACTTCTAAGTGATTGATGAGGCGCCCGCCCCGCTTGACTTGGTCAGCAAAGGCTGGGCCAACGTTCCTGGCAAGCCACTGCAGGATCTCCTCACTGGTTGCCTCCTCCAGTTCTTGCATGGCGTTGGACAGGGCCTCTTTCTTCTCCTGGCTTAAGTGTGTTAGGCTGTTAGGCGATCCTGGACACAAAGATCAACAAAAACATAGATGGCTATTGCTTACTGCACAGAGCCCCACCCGTTAATTTACACTGCCGCCTCAGTGCTGATCGAGCGAGCTTGTATGGAACGCGTTGGTCGGCGGTCAGGAGCACCGTTGGGATTAGGAGGCTCAAGCAGCTGGCACACAAGCCGCTCAATGGCCAGCCAACTTGCCGACGCTGCTGCCAGGGCAACCTGGATCTTTAAAGTTTTGGGTTTAGGGCTTAGGGGAACAGTCTTTATGAAAAAATTCCCCCTAATCCCTGCTGTGTCAGAATAGACGAATGCCTTGACTTGGGGAGGTAATCAAAAAGACCACGCTACAAGCCTTGTCTTATGTCCAGGCTCGATACACATGCCAAAAAGTGGGGATTCTCTGAGTACTTGATAGGAAGCCATATTCCTAAACCCTATCATCCCTTTGTAACTTCCAAATACCCCTAAGGTCAGGTCGGAGCCTCTGACTGTGAGAAAACTGGATGGCTTTGAAGAAATTTGAGTTAAGGTGCTATAAAAAAGAAACCCTATTATTTGCTATATACTACTGGTAACTTGATTTGAGTTCCCTAGCAGTAACCCAAAAAAACACATCATAAGTCCAAGTGGCATCGCCGACCTCTCTCCTGAAGGTGTCGACCTTCAGCTGCAGGTAATTGAGAACCGGCTCGATGCATTTCCAGGAGAACCCGCTGGAGCGCCAGGCCTCTCAGGTTAAAGGTGCAAAGCTTAGGGTTCATGGGTTTTAGGGGTTTAGGAGTTTGGGGCTTAGGGTTCAGGGTTTAGGGTTTCGGGTTTAGGGTTTCGGGTTTAGAGTTTGGGGTTCAAGGTTTAGGGTTTTTGGGCCCGGGGTTCAGGGTGCAGGAGTAGCACATGAGCCATAATCTAAACTCCTACACTCGCCATCACTGTTAAGGCTAAGGTTTAGGGTTTAGGGTGTAACTCCTATCCCCCTTATATAATCCCCTATACAACCCACCTTTACGGAGTTTAGACTCTAACCCACATCAAGTTTCCATAACGTACGTTGATTTCTCGAAATCGGGGTGCCTTAGAGACCACACAGGCTACTGAGAGGGATTTAAGGACTTTGCAGAATATGTCGGGTTCGTTCCTTGTTTTGAAATTCATTGCAGAAACTTGCATATCTGCCACAGGAAGAAAGCGAAGCAGCGCAGACCCCAACGTCGATAAAAACCCACATTACTAGGTTGGCCCCTGAAACCTATTGAAAAATCTTCGTATATAGGGTCCCCTTATTAAAGCCATTAGGGAAAATACTAAATATCCCAGGGGCCTACCCAGATTATGCGCACCGCAGTTTCCACCTAACAATGATCTCAGATGATGCCGAAGGACATCACAATATCAACCTCAGGTTTAGGGTTTTAGGGTTTAGGGTTTAGAGTTTAGGGTTTAGGGTTAAAGTGGGGATGTTTTACCTGGGACAACCTCAATAGTGAGTCTGGGGGTTGTAATGTGCCCCCCACTGTTGGCACGATGAAAGGACAACCGGTTTCAAGCTGATTTCCAAGTGAGCCCCCTTTTGAGTGGGAAGTTTGGGGGTAGAAAAGCCCTAAACCCGCTGAAGAATTATCATTCGGGTGGATGGGTGGGACTTCAGCTCTCTATGCGGGGGGTCTTGGCGCACATGAATGGCAAACCCGAAGCCCTGAAGCCATGCCTCTAGGAGCTGCAGTAGCATCTTGCGTGCCCGCTGTTGGAGCCTGGAGTCTCGGCCGTCGCGCTCCTCAAGGAGTTTCAGGGACCCTTAAGGATGCTAGGCTGTATATGAACACCATAGCATGATTCAGGAGGGACATGTCGAGAAACTATCTGTGGTGGCATAGTAAACTATTATTTCAAGGATTCGTGGAACACAACGGAAATGTTCCACCCCCCCAAACCCTAACCACCTAAACCCTGAACCCCTAAACCCTAACCCCCTCACCCCCTAAACCCTAACCCCTAAACCCCTGCTTGGCCATTCACCGAGCCTTAGTGTCTGCTTCGCAGGGCTGGTCAGGGAAATGACCTGCAGCTCGGCGCGGGGGCGTCAGCACTCCAGCGACGGTGCAGAGCAGATCCGACAGCTCTTGACGGCTGCACTTGTCCAGGGCCGCCACGCGCAACTTTATGTCTTGCAGGAAAGACTGCTGCTCAGTGGGATCCATGTTTTTCCACACCTGAGTAGTGTTTTTTGGTGGTTAAACCTAGTGAGATAATATTCCTTATATGAAATACTATAGCCCAAAGGGGGGATATGATCTTACTCTATATTGGGTACCATAGTATCCCCAAATTAAATACAACTCACCTGGATCTTGTTCTGCAGCTTTGCAGGGGCCAGCAGCCTGTACACGTGGCCCTGCACAGACTCAGAAAGCAAGCTTCCTCTTGGCTCCAGCACAGCATCTGCCGCGTGGAGCACCAGGCGGAGGCGCTTTGGGACGGCACTACCAGGCTCCAGGGAAGCAAGGAAACCTTTCAGCAGCTTCAACTCCCATTTGCTGCATCTACCTGACGAAGGCCAAGTAACCCAGGAGGCAACATGAGCTGCTTTGGATGCAATTTTCTGAGTATCTTCCTCCATCAGCCACCGCTCCAAGCGCGTCCGGTACCTCTCTCGCACTTTTTCGCGGTCCATCTTCTGAGAATAATACCGCGATGCATGCCAACGCAGTCGCCTGTGCCACGTTTCATTTGGCTTCGCCATAGCACGTGGCACAGGCACCCTCATCTGTTGGGTCCTGACCCCACCCATTGACAGTCTATAGTAGGCATCATATTAAGGGCTATATATGACTGTACTATGTCATATTATCCATCTGTTACAGAGCGGGGGCAACACGCAACCCTTATCTACAATATCAGTACTGGCGGGGTCCGGATAATTAGAAACATCATGAAGGTTATGAACACATACATATGACGCTGACAAGCGGTTCGTATGATTGCTATAGCTTCTACAAGTCCATGCACTGCGGGCTAACAGGTCTGCGCAGCCGAAAATTTAAATGGTAAGTCGCAGTGAGAGAAGAGCGCACGTCTTGCGTCAACTACTGGAGGCACCAAGTGTGGCAACAAGCCCTATAATTCCTGTAGTTTCCATTTTCTTTTCCATTATCCCAATATTACCTCAATATATACCCCCTATAACCCACTATGGTAGTTTCCATTTTATTTTCCATTATCCCAATGAAAAAGAGAGCTAGGCTTCAACTGCACAGTGTTACTTAGGAGCTATGCTGCGGCAAGCATCTGTCAAATTGCGTCATGACCAGGAGATGAAGCATCACTGTGCATGTCTACATGATGCAAACCCATCGCCACCCTGTGCATCAAGTTGAACATCGTGATTTTACATGCTGCATGAAGGTGCATAAAAAGTAGAACCCCCAGTTTGACGGCCTATGCTACTATTGACTTTAAGGAACCTACATTTCACAATCCCGCCAGGGGTATGACACTTGAGTTCTACTTTGGCGCTCTTTGTCGAACCGTGCAAGGCAGGGGCGAGATGGCCTGAGAAGTGAGACAAGCAAGGTTGCTAGGGTTATCAGGGTTTTTTGGGTTTAAGGGTTTAGGCTTATGGTGTGATTAGGGCTTCCGGGTTGTTAGAGTATAGGTCGATTAATAGCATGTCAAGCCAAGCGCTCCATTTGCAAAAAACGACGTACAACGACAGCAGCGATTGCAATCATATTAGTAATAGAAGAAATGACAGAACTGAATAAAATAGCTTGGGTCCTCCCCCCCCCCCACACCCACACCCACAC